AGCATCACTTTGTAATTGCAAAGTAAATGCTTCGTAGTTACAAAGGAGCAAAATACTTCGCAGCTCTGCAAAGCGAATGCTTTGTAGGAATTTAACAGTGTGTGAATACGTAGCAGCGTTGCGGGTTTGCCTACTATTTACACCCATAAGGGTCCATGGCCCCTCTGCGGCCATATTGAGTATGCAATCTTGCAACACTGCTGCGTATTCACAATTATACCTGGTACATCAATTAATATCTAAATTGAAATGTGCACAGTTTAGACACATTGTGGCTCTACTATACATGAATGGGTGTGTTAAATTTAAACATTTTAGAGAGGTTTTGGAGCTTGAACATCATTTAATAGGCCTGTCTGTCCACGTGTACAACAATTTAAACATTTACGAGATGTAAAAGGGATACCAATAGAACGTGACCAGCAGTACCGTCATGACCTGCTCGAAAATAAATAGTATCAAGGAGGTTAGGGGGTGCTCCCTCCCGGCGCGCAAAGACAGCCCCGCACCGACTCCCCGGCTCCGGCCCAGCAGCGGGGCAATGTCTTCTTTTCAAACTCATAAACGGGCTCGCAGAATGCTTTACGGTGCACTCGGGCTGGCAGGCGGCTGGGTAATGCTGCCACCAAGGCAAAGTTTCATCGCCACAGGGAAATGAGTAGCGGAGCCAGAATAACTGAGCCTGCTATCCTGTTGCTTGAGCATAGCACTAAATGTATACGTTTATACATTTGGGACATCCTATTCTGCTCTCCACTTCTAACCGGGAGGAGGGCAGGCAGTGACCCTTCGCGAAGCACGGCTCTCGGCGTCGCCACGTGTCCGCTGAGAGGGCGAGAGCAGCTCCAACGATCTGGATAATGGGAGTCGTTTTACTTCCAGTAATAAAACGGAGATCGATCGCACGTCGAGAGGGGACGAGCTAAGCGGCTACTGCCCAACGGCCAAAAAAACTAAAGGCGTTCGAGAAAAATGCTTATTTGGCCGGGATACTTTGTAAAGGGGTTCTTATTACTTACTAAATGAACCGAAATAACACTAGATGATATCTCGCGTGGGTTCGCAATATCAGGGGACGTTGCCAAGAGCCGCTCACCTCCAGAACAAGAATTTCTGGCGTTGCCACTTACAATGAGCAAACTGCTGTATATTTGCAGAGTAGGGTCCTTTGCTATTCATCGCGCTGATACCCACGGCCCTGTTCTAGGACGCGAGACTATTTCATTCCTGGAGTAAGGAGACGAAAGGATACCAGTATGTTCTTTCAGAAAAATATAACAAACTACTTAAGATAAATACAACGAAGCACGCATACGCGTGCACGCCAAAACACACAAATTTCTGTTTCACTGAGCAAGGTCGATCGTTGCTCATTAAAAAAGGTAAAACGGAGATAAACATGGCATATATAACGCTCGGATATTGTAACCCGTGTTTAATTCACTCAACGAGTCGCGGTGGCATAGCTCGTTAGCCAAATGCATTTATACAGTCGAGGCAGGTTGTCGCAGCGCTTTTTCAACGGTTTGAAATGCGCACTACCCCAAGTCCCGCACCGCGACCCCCTCAGTAAGTCTATTCACGTGCTGCCGCTCGTTGCAAAAGCCCGTTGTCCTCGCCCTCTTTCACCTTCTAAGGTGTCCGACACCGGAAGTAACAAGAGCCGGCGCGCCCACCCAACTTCGCATTTTGCAATTGGAGGAGTCAGTCCCGCCAACCCCACTCAGCAGCCTTGTCTTGTCGAGTAAATGAGCTCGCAGCAGATGAGCGCCTACGTTCCCCCCGACCAAATGGATGCCTTTCCACTTTCCCACATCTACAACACAACCACCACCTAGTTGTTGGTATCGGACTCTCCATTCCAGGTATCGAATTTAACCTACCAAACAGAACTGATACACACACAACAAAAGTCTTATTTTTATGTGAAGATCCAAAAGTCAAAAAACGCCAAACCATTTCGCTCGTCCCTAACTGAAAGCACGCACGGCTCAGTGCCTCTAGAGAAACCAAGTATCTTTGCGCGACGCTCGAGAAACCAAGTACCGTTGCGTGGCGCTCGAGAAACCAAGTATCGTTGCGAGACTCTAGTGAAACCACGTAACGCATTTTTTGACGATTTTTTAGGAACTATATATTTGGATAGAGGGAAATTTTCTCTATCGATTGGTGTAGGTTTCAAAAATCACCCAAAAATAGAGATACGTGGTTTCACTAGAGTCGCGCAACGATACTTGGTTTCTCGAGCGTCGCGCAAAGATACTTGGTTTTTCTAGAGGCGCTGCGCCTTGCACTGTAAAAAGCTTACGGTGAATTTCACCGTAAGCTACGGTGACCCCCTGCAGCACTGTAGCCTACGGTGTATGTCACCGTAGGCTACGGTGAATTCCATCGTAGGCTACAGTGAATTCACCGTAAGCTACGGTGAATTTCACCGTAAGCTACGGTGCTGCAGGGGGTCACCGTAGCTTACAGTGAAATTCACCGTAAGCTTTTAACAGTGTGCGTGCTTTGAGTTAGGGACGAGCGATTTGTTACAGCGACCCCCCCCC